CAGTGTTTAGCAGGTGCAGAGTTTCCAGTTTACAAGGTGGAAAGCAATTCTGGAGATGGGTAGTAGGAATGTCTGCAGAGCAGTGCAAATGTAGGTAACACTCCTGAACTATGCTCTAAAAAGAGTCAGGAGGGCAAATATATGTACTTCGTCACAATTTTAAAAATGCATTGAGCTAAATGTGTCACCGTGCTCTGACCAGTTTTCTCCATACGTAGCAAAACAGTCTCAAGTAAGAGACAAAGGATGTTACCCTAATACCTGGCTTCTGTCTGGGTAACTCCATTCATCCTGCAGATCTCAGTGGAAACACTACTTCCTCCAGGAAGTCCTCCTTGGCTTCTAGTTCTCCTATTGGGCTGCTGTTGATCACGTGCACTCCTGGTGGCAGTCACTGTTCTAGACAGGTGTGTTCAATTGCCAATTTTCCCCTGGAATGAAACTCCTTATTTAATGCGTTCTCTCCTGCTGCAACACGCGTTCTGTGATGCAGAAATGGAATCGTGCTCGGGATGGCACTTGCACATCAGAGGCATGTAATGAGTATGCGTCAAATAAACTCCGCCACGAATATCAGTGCAATGTCTAGTTTCGCTTCTACCCTTAGATTTTACTACTGTTTTCTCTCGTATGTTGCCATTGGCAGAAGTTTTTCTGTAAGACTTACCATAACACTGACAGTAGCAGTTCAGCCAGGAACTCTTAAAGACATTCATGGAAAATTCCAGTTAGCAGTTGGTAGCGGCCAGTACCCAGAGATGGGCCCTGCTGTTTCTCCAAGCTTGCAAGGACCTCTCTGTACAAAAGTGTGTCATGACTTTTTGATGACCCAATAAATAAGCAATGGCCATCAATGTCCTTCTGGGTGTTTTCTCACATTATTCTTTAGTTTTCCAAAAAGAGAGAAGGCTCAAATTTTGGATTGCTTGATACTCAGAGGTATGAGAACGATGCCACCAAGTCTGGGCTTCACCGAACGTCTATAGAGCAGAGTATTGACGCTTCCTCGTTCTAGTCTCACAGCCGCTCCTTCCGATTCCACTCGGATACAGTTTACTCCCGTCGCCACACTGGCCCTGCAGTAATTTAAGGGAGTTGATTGTAGCTTTCATTTCAGAATCAGTAGTCAGAACATGAGTTTAATCAGAGCTGGCCATTTAAAACTTTGTGGGCGAATGCTTGATTGCTCTTTTTATTGATTTATTTAATCATCTTTTAGGTTTTTGCCATAGGACATGTGCACCTGCTGGAGAGAGACAGAGAGACAATGAGAGGGAAGGTGCGAAATCACACCTCAGGGGGTGTGATGCAATGCCACAATCCCTTCTCCACCCTCCTCCTGGGATTTTGGGCACACACACATATGCTCTGCATGATTTTTAAGCCTCTAGATCTGGGAAACGAGCTGCAGTCAGCTATGGAAGTCCAGTGCCTTTACTCGCCACGCCCCCAGCTGGTCCCGAACGCTGGCTTTTTGTCGTTTCTGAGGTTAGCAGATATCTCCTTGCTGTCTTTTCTTCTTCTTTTGTTCTCCTTCTCCTTCTTCTTTTAAATGTCATTGACGCAGTCAGATTGCAACATATGCAAGTTGGTTTCTTTCCACTCTAAATACTGGAACTTTGTTTTTTGAAAGTATGTCAAGGAAAGAAGATATGTTATTCTAAGTCAAATTTTCAAGTAATTGTTACCAGATTTTTATTATCAACATCTGGTTTGAATGAATAAAAACAAATAATTCATTTCATCTGCTTCCCTTCCAGTTTTTAAGGATTATTGGGTCAACTGAATTAACATCGTTTCCTAACATGTTGAAAGTGCTTGAATTTTCAACAACCAAAGAAACCTAAACACTATGAGTCTTTTTTTTCCAGATACACATTTATTGAGTTATTGTAGTTCATTTGCTCTCAGAGAAGCATCATTTTCAAGGTCTTTCTTTGGTCACTAACTGGCTTGATTAGTAATTAGATTGCATTTATTATAGTTCTTTTTTTTTTTGGAGAGGTCTTTTTGCTATAGGGCGTGCATACTCACCAGAAAGACAGAGAGAGACAGAGAGACAGAAAGTGAGAGATCACCCCACAGGGAGATGGCCATGCCACAATCCCTTCTCCTCCATTCTCCTCTCGGGATCTTGGGCATGCATGCACCCGCGCCCGGCAGAGTTCAAGCTTCCGGGTCTGGGACTACATGGGAGTCCAGTGACATAGCTATTACAGTAACTGTTGCCCTGCATGTATTATGTTTAACACAGTACATTTTCCTTCAGCAAGATGGAATGGTCACTACTTGTCGCAATTACTGATTAAATATGGTCAAGAGAGACTCAGCATTACATATATGTACAATGGCGGGACCAGGTGGTGCTGCAGAGGTGACAACTGAACCTGGGTGGGAGGGTTCTGGGTTCACATCCTGGGACCTTCTCTTGCATGCCAGCCTACATATGTGCCCATGATGCTGACGGCTGAGGCTGGGGTGGACCATGGCGTGAGGGTTCTACAGCAGGTGCTTCTCTCTCTCTAATTCTGGAAGAAATAAGTAAACTTTTAAAATTAAATAAATAAATAATGACATATAAACGACAAAGCTTATAATCTGAAAAAAATGCTTCTGGGATTTAAAAGTCCACATAATGAATTATAATGAAAAGATATATTTTGTCAATGACAATATCTTTCTGTAAATGATGGGTATTGGATTAAAAACAAAAACCTGTTTTTGGTTTTAAGTGTGTTCTATTTTCTGAGCACAGATAAATAATACACAGGACAATTTCCGCTTCTGGCAGCATGGCGTAAAGAAGCAGAAAAACAAACAAGAAAAACACAGAATAGACTCAAAGTGAGAAAAATGGAGATAAGGAGCAGAAAATAGTGAAATGTAAACAAAGATGCAAAAAAAAGTATAAAGGAAGCCTAAAGTTGATTTTTGAAAAGATGAATGAAATAGACTCTGACTACGAAATGAGCAAAGGTGTGAGTACACGCACCACAATCCGGGAGGGATTAAAGAGATAAAAGGAAACTACGCACAAGTTTAGGGGGGTGCATTAGAAGACTTAACTACACAGATTCCTAAAAGATCCTAACTACAAAAATTAGTTTAAGAAGCAGAGAGTCCTAATTATACTACAGAAATAAAATGAATGAGTGTTTAAATAAAAACCCCAGCGGGGCAGTTATGCAGGCAACATCCACCAAACATTCAGGGAGCAGATTTTTCAGCCCTCTGCTAACTCTCCCCTATGAAGCCAGCATTGTCTGATTTCCATATTAATCCTAGTGCCCTGGAAGCAAATGCCAAGGTGAAACTAAAAGTGAAAGAATTTTATTAGAGAAAACATGATATAAAATGGGGTGGAATATTAACAGAAAGAAAGATAAAAACCATATGATTTCAATTGATGCTGAAAAAGCATTCGACAAAATACAACATCCTTTCGTGATTAAGACGCTCAGTAAAACTGGCATAGACATATCGTTTCTCAAAATAATAAAAGCCATCTATGAAAAACCTACAGCTAACATTATACTGAATGGGGAAAAGCTTAAAGTTTTTCCACTAAAAACTGGTACAAGACAAGGCTGCCTACTTTCTCCATTCCTACTCAATATAGTACTGGAAGTCCTAGCTAAAGCGATCAGAAAAGAGAAGTAAATAAAAGACATTCCAATAGCAAAAGAAGAACTGAAATTATTTCTGTTTGCAGATGACATGACTGTTTACATAGAAGACCCAATAGTATCCACAAAAAAACTCGAAGTAATAAATAAATGCATACAATAAAGTAGCAAGATATAACTTACAAAGATCTATAGCATTTCTATACGCAAACAACTTCTTAAGTAAGACCCCCAAGGCACAGACTATAATCCCCCAAATAGACAAGGGCAATTACATCAGATTAAGAAGTTTCTGCACAGAAAAGGACACTGTCACTAGTGGATCGACAACCCTTAGAATGGGAGAGGATTTTTGTTAACGTGCCTCAAATAACGGACTGATAACCAGAATACACAGGGAACTCAAGCAGCTTACCTGGAAAAAAAAAAAAGATGAACCCAATTAAAAGATGGGAAAATGAGCTGAACAAAAATCTCTCTAAGGAAGACATATGAACAGCCAAAAAGCATATGAAGAAATGTTCAACATCCCTCATCATAAGGGAGATGCAGATCAAAACCACAATGAGATACCACCTAACTCCAGTCAGAATGGTGAAGATTAAAAAAAAAAACAAATGATAAGTGCTGGAGGGGATGCAGTGAAAGGGGAGCACTCCTACATTGTTGGTGGGACTGCAAATTGGTACAATGACTGTGGAGAACAATATGGAGGTTCCTCAAAGACCTTCAAATAGAACTACCATAAGATTCAGCAATTCCACTCCTGGATATGTACCCAAAGGACAGGAGAATGCTCAATCAGAAAAGCACTTGCACATCTATATTCAGTGCAGCCTTATTCACGATTGCTAAGACATGGAGCCAACCCAAATGTCCATGAATGAATGAATGGATTGAAAAAGTGTGGCACATATACTCCATGGAATATTATTCAGCCATAAAAAACAACAAGGCCCTGGAGTTTGGTAGAAAGTGGATGGATATGGAAGATCTGTTGCTGAGTGAAGCCAGTCAGGCTATGAAAGAGAGACATTGTATGTCTCCCCCTAACATATCCCCACTGTCCGCACTCTATGGCAGAGACTGAAAGACTGGAGGACGTACAAGCATTAAAAATTGTTATGGTCACTAGAACCAAAGGGGAAAGAGGGGTAGGAAAGGAAATTTGGGGGAAATGGGGAGGGAAGGCATTTGTGGGACGTGATATGGTTCATTATCTGTTGATGAGGATGTGCGCATGCTCTCAACTGGGCTGGGCTGCGGTGTGCGTCACGCTCTCTTTAAAGTCTCTACAATCTAAATGATGCATAGTGATTAAATGTATAAATAATGATTAAAATTAATAAATAGAAAATATAAAAAAAATTTTAAGTGCTTGCTTTGGCAACATATATACTAAAACTCAAGCGAAACAGAGATTAGCAGGGCCCCTGCACAAGGATGACACACAAATTCGTGAAGCGTTCCATATTTTTCAAATATGGTAGACTTAATGCTAAGCAAAGCAAGCCAGAGTATGAAAGACAGACTTTGTATGTATTGGGTTGGGATGACTTACATGGAAATTATTCATCTTTAAAAGCCATCCCAACCCAATGAGAGAGGTAGCCATTTGACCGAGATAGCCTCCTGTCCCCAGCTGATGTCCTCTGTAGAAAACTGTCCTCTTCCACAGATCTGCGTCAGAGATGGGCTTTGCTGGCAGGGAGCGGTGACTCCAGTTAGTACCTAGGTTGGTTCGGTAACAGTGGCAGCACCCTGGACTCCTGAGCAGTCTACGGTAGGCTTGGCAAGGGCTTTGCAAGTGGTGTTCAGCCGAGTTACTGACGATGTCCTGACTGAGGGTCACTGAAAGAAAGTCACCGTCTAGAGCAGCTTGTGGGAGGCAGGGCCCTGGCCATGCACAGGGTGGCCCAGGGTTAGGGTTGGTCCTTGTGGCTGGTGATGCGTGTGTTCTCCTGGTGGCCACAATCCCTGAGAGCAGGATGAGGACAGGAACCTGGGAGCCAATCTTATTCATTAATACAGATTCAAAAATCCCAGATGACTACTAGTAAAGCAAAATCACAGTTAATAAAGTGTTAACATCGGGATCAGCAGATGGCGTAATGGCTATGTCGCTGGACTCCCATGTAGTCGACCATGGTTCCTGGACCCGATGGCTTAAACTCAGGCCAGGCGGGTATGCGTGTGTGCCGAAGATCCTGAGAGGAGAATAGAGGAAAAGGGTTTGCAGCATGGCCATCCCCCATGGGGGGGGTGTGTGTGTGTGATTTCTCACTTTCTGTCTCTCTATGTCTTTCTGGCGAGCGCACGTGCCTTACAGCAAAAACCTCTCAAAAAAATAAAAATAAAAATAAAATAAAATGATAATGTCATGACCAAGTCAGGTGTGTCACAGAAATTTAAAAGTAGTTTAACATTAAACAACCTATAATCATAATTAGTTGCATTAAGAAATAAAATGAGTATTCTTAGCAAATGAAAAATAAAGGGAATTTCTTTTTTTTTTCTCTTTTTTTCCGGGGAGAGCGCGAACGCAGTCCCCCACTACCACAAATTATGCAGTCGAGTTTCCCACATTTGGGGAAATCGCAGGGGTCAGCACATCCGGAGTGCAATGGATAAGCCTCGCCCTGGGAAAACCACCTTCGTGATCATGGTATCTCCCCTGCCAGGTAAGTATGAGTTGCGCTTCTCGCCTCGGCCCACACCCTCGTGCCCATCTCATATTGGTCAATAATATTCAGTAATTACCATTCTTTTTTAGAATTATTTAATTTTATTCATTATTATTATTTTTAATAATAATTATTAGAGAGAGACAGGAAGAAAGTTGGAAAACAAGCTGCCAGTTCTGGGATCTAACAGTGGTTCAAGTCCCAGACCCGGTGGCTTAAACTCACGCCGGGCGCATGTGCGTGCATGCCCAAGATCCCAAAGAGAATGGAGGAGAAGGGATTGCGGCGTGACCATCCCCCTTCGGGGAGATCTCTCGCTTTCTGTCTCTCTGAGTCTTTCTGGCACACACACGTGCCCTATAGCAAAAATCTCTCCAAAAATAAAAAAGGAAAAGAAGAACAACACTGTTATTATTCCTAATAACAAAGTAGCTGACATGGAAAGTAACAAGTAGTCTACAATGTACTAGGGGTAATAAAACAGGTGCACAAAGCCAACTGCATTTCTGTGCACCCAGCAGCAACAACAAAACAGACAATATAGCTTTATAAACATTCCACTCACAACATTAACAACAGCTACAAGGCACTAAAAGTAAGTCTAGTACCTAAAGATAAATCTAACATTTGTGATGCTTGTGGAAGAACATTATAATACTTTACTAAAAGATGTGAGAGAAGATTTAATTCGGAGACAGTAAATGATACCCATGGATAAGATTTAATGTTACAAAGTTGTTAGTTCTGGGACTAGCAGTTAGCGTAATGGGTACATCTCTGGACTCTCACATAGTGGACTGCAGTTTGAGTCCCAGACCTGGTGGCTTAAAACTCATGTCAGCACGTGTGTGTGCGTGCCCAAGATCCTGAGAGGAGACTGGAGGAGAAGGGATTGCGGCGTGGCCATCCTGTCTGGGGGATGATTTCTCACTTTCTGTCTCTGTCTCTGTCTCTGTCTCTCTGGTGAGTGCACACACCCTATAACAAAAAACAAACAAACAAATAAACAACCTCCCCCAAAAAAACAAAAAAAAACCCAAAGAACAAAAACCAAAAAAACCCAAAACTAAAAAACAAACAAGCAAACTAAAAATTCATTCATTCTTCTGATAGTGATTTATAGATTTAAAAACCCTACAATAAATTTTAACAGGGTTTCCAGAGGAGCTCAGTAAAATTAATGCTTGGGATGTATGGACAATTTAATATGTATTTCAAAAAAACTAGTAGAACTTATAGGCAACTGTGCCAACGGAATGTGATGTTTAAGGCTGCAGAAGATGAGTTTGTGTATATCCCTGGTCTGATTATTGTGCACTGCACGCAGGCCTGAAACTCCATACTGTAGCCCATAAAGACATACATAAACGATATGTAAGCCAGAAAACCTATTTAAAATAATAGTAATAAAATAACAGCAAAAGCAACATCACAGCAAAGGCCCGAGAAGAGTCGGTACACTCCAGAAGCAGCAGTAGCTTAGGGAGATCACTGTCGCAGAGATGAGGGCTCGCTGGACGGGCAGGAGGAGCTGGCAGAGTAGCATGGAGACAGGGGTGGCGAGTTGATCGAAGAGACAAGGAAGGTGAATTTAAAGCAGGAGAATAGCAAATTATGGGGAAAAGGAGAGACAGTCGCTTTACCACACACAACAGCTAAATCCCGATGGCTCAAGAAGTTAATGTGAACAGCAAGACTGATTCTTGGAGGAATACATATGTATGACCTCTGTGTAGCCAAGGATTTCTAAACACGGCGTTGCCCATGCAGATCTAACAAAAAGTGGTAGATTTAGCTAGGTTTGTCTTAAATTTTGTTTCTGTTCATCCAAAGACACCAAAAATACAGCTAAAAAATATCACCAACTGGAAAGAAGAGATTTGCAATATTGGGCCAGCCATGGTGTGGTGGTTGGGGTGGCTGGATACCATGCGGCTGACTATGCAGTTCAAGTGCCGGCTTGGGAAGTGCGCTGGGTGCGTGTGGGTGATTGCCCAGGGAAGAAAGAATGGAAGAGAGGATTGCAGTATGGCTGGGTCCCCCGGGGGGGGGAAAGCTGTTCCCCCAGGGGTGGGCACATACCCATCTCTCCGATGAGGTGCCCATACCCTCAGGTGCTGGAAGCCATGCTCCAGCCGGGGTGGGTTCACAGGAAGGTGACACAGGTGAACAAAGTCAGGCCAAGACCTCAATACCCCTTAGCATGTTTTCAGCCAGCTGCAGCCACTCCGGCAAATGAAAAAAAAAAATGCTATTAGCAATATTTGTAACTGCTAAGAATTAGTATCCAGAATACGTAACAAAGAAGCTACCAAGCTAAGTAAAAAATGTAAACGTCCAGGACCCACGTGCAGGCCTTTCACAGCAAAGATGCCACGGTGAATACACATGTGGAAAGGTAGTGACCAGGACATGCACACTAAGACCACGGCGAGCTACCAGTGCCACACTGGCCGCGAGTAAGAAGTGTGTTAACACCAGCGTGGTGTGATAGTGCCACAGATTCAGTATTAGCAAAGTGGAGAACTGACAGATGTCTGACATCCAGGTAGGCGTGTACATTGATACAAATACTTCATAAAAATAATTTAGAATTCCATTATAATGGCAAACATTTTTCACATTTTAAAAAACTATTATTTTTATTTGCCAGAGGGCACCTGTGCTCACCAGAGAGTCACAGAGATGGAGAACACACAGGCGTGGTCATGCCGTAATCCGCCTCCATTTCTCCTTTTTTTTTTGGAGAGGTTTTTGCTATAGGGTGCATGTGCTCGCCAGAAAGACAAAGAGAGGCAGAGAGACAGAAACTAAGAAATCACCCCCCAGGGGGGATGGCCAAGCTACAATCCCTTTTCCTCCATTCTTCTCTCGGGATCTTGGGCACGCATGCACACGTGTCTGGTGTGAGTTTTAAGCCACTGGGTCCAGGACGTGAACCGCGGTCGACTACGTGGGAGTCCAGCGACATAGCCATTACGCTAACTGCTGGTCTCCATCTCTTCCTCTCCTTGGGATTTTGGGCATGCACTCATAAATGCCCAGTATGTTTTCAAGCCACTGAGGTAGGGCACAAAACACTCAGTTGGCCACGTGGGATCCAGCTCCCTTAACAAGTAGGCCACAGGGCCAGCCTTGACACAAACTCCTGATGCTGTGCTGTGCTTGTCACCTAATGTTACAGTGACATTGCACACACAACGCAGTTCTAGTCCCAGTGTCAGCTGGCTGTGCCGGAATCATGGCCGGTCTGGACTGTGAGCCCCAGGAGGTCAGAGACTGTTTCACCCCTCCTGGCGTCCCTGAGCCTGGCACAGTCACTAAACACCTATGTTTTTGGGGGTAAATTGCTTGTAACATCCTTGGGGATGAGCGATGGCTTAGAAAATGGGCAGGAAAACAAATACGGACTTTTTCAGAATTATTCTTCTTATCAACATGTAATAGTAGTAAGTATCTCAGCCGTCAGCAGTAAAACTTCAAGGAGAATTGCTGTCCCCAGGAAAGCCCCAGGATATGTCAGTGGCGAGATCTGCATCTGGGAGGAGAGTCCTGGGCTGGAGCCGCGCGTGGGAGTAACGGCAGGTGTCTGGTGTCCAAGTCCTTGCTTCTTAGGGGCATCCGGGCACACGAGGTCCCCATGATGTAAGGCCTGGCTCTGGGCGCTGACGGCTAGTTTCCATAACACAGGTGGGGTGGTTTACAGGGTTAGAGCCTCTGCCTGGCGCGTCAGTGAGAACAGGCTCAGCGTCTGGGGCACGGTGCGTGCCTCTTTTAATCAAGGGCCAGAGCGG